TGGTGGAGGCACCACCACGACATGGCAAGGTGAAAAGGGTTCGTGTGTTTCATTTAAGCCACCACAGCATGGCAGTATTGGCCATGGCGTGGTGGACGACTGGCAATATTGGCCACGACGTGGTAGACTACAGACGTGAAAACCCTATTTTTCCAGGTTTGCTCCATATTTAAAGGAATGAGGAGGTTAGGGTTTGCTCATCCTCAGCCTCCATTAGTCCCCTCAATCCCTAAAGAAAAACCTAATCACTTTCCTCCATTATTGAGCTAGTTTTGATGTTCCTTGAAGCTAAAAAAGGAAGAAAGAGGAAGAAGGAAGCAAATATCAAGCAAGCAAGTCTCCATTTTTCACCTTAGCACTCTTCTGGACCTTTGTAAGTGTCTAAGACTCGATTTTTATCATGCTAGGTTTCTAGATCTTGAGTTTTGTCCCTAACTTCTTGTTTTTTCTTTTTAGGATGGTGAGATCTCTTAAAGTTTGCAACTTTATGAATCTCTGGGACATTTGGTGTAATTTGTGCCTTGGATCTGGAGTTTGGTTGCATGAGATTTAGGTCATAAACCCTCATTTTGACCTAATATGGGTTGAAGACATGCATTGGACATGCATGTCTATAAAGCACCAACTTTTAGGTTAATTTTGCTGCTAGAATCACTATTGGAAAATATGGACTTCGAACCTTATGGAATAAGTGCTTATTGGTTAAGATCTTGCATTGTTAAGCCTTTTGGGACTTAGGGAGTTGGGTTTTGGACCTTTTGGGTGGTCTTAATGGATGAATTGGAAACTTTATCCATCTAGATCACATTTTGGAACAGAATGAGCTTTGGAGCTCTTGGAATCAAAGAAAACAGCTTAATGCATTAAGTTGTTGGAACCCCCACTTACCACGGTGTGGTCCTAGGTCACCATGACATGGCGGCTGAGATTTTCCCAACTGTTTGGTCATATGCGGGCCACGACGTGGCCAAGGAAGACCACTCGTGTCGGTCGGCTAGAGTCAACATTGACTGTTGACCTTGAGGGTTGACTTTTGACTTTTGGATTTTTGTTTAGCTATTAATGTCCTAATAGGTAGATTAAGGTTTTGCCTTATGTGATTATCTAGGTGGCATTTAACACCTGTTGTTGACTTTTGAGCTGTTGTGGGAGGTGAATTTGCTCACTAAACTGTAGGACGCTACGGATTGTATGTGCTTGTAGTCTTTATGACTCTTGTTGTATGCATTGTATGCTTGTGTGCATGTTTGTTATACATATGTGGGGTGAAATAGACCCGATACAGCCTTGTGTTGACATATGAGTTGAAATAGACTTTGATGTACTTTTGGGATGTTTATAGATACCCTCTGAATACCTTATGGTTTTGAAAAACATGTATGGTTGATGGTTTATTTAATATAAAAATAATAAATTTTAGTTATGAGTTTTGGGATGTTACATCAGAAGTCTTTAACCCAACATGTCATGTTCATATATGTTGAAACTAAATGAGCCATCCATATCTTGTGTTGAAACTGCTAGCAAAGTGTATTCTTCACCTAGAGATATTTGTCTAGTCGTAAATGAAAATATTATAAGGTAAGTATGTTATCCCCTCTCTAATCAATCTTTTTCTTTATATATATTTGGACTGATAAGTTTCCTTAGAAGCATGTTGTTGTATGTGACTAAATTTCTCTAAGTATCTCATTAGTGAGACCATCTGTTAAGATGACATTAAGTCACACACTCACACTGATTGTTATGCATTGACATATCCTTCAACATGAGATTGGCTAGTCCAAATCAAAAAATTATTATAAGGATTGGGTGTTTATTTTTGATTAACTGTTTTATCCAGACTCCGTCCTTAGAAGCATGTTTGTCGTATGCATCTAGTCTTATGTTCTACTGAAACATCGAGCATTACCCAATGGCTTACTCTAATTTCATAGTCATCAAACTGAGTGTTACTTGTCTGGTCCTTCAATGAGAAAGGATTATTCATGTCCTTAGCATCCCAGTCTGAGGTATGACATGGTACCAAGTTGAATTGACGTTGGCTCTTATTCGCCTAGCTCTTTCTATCCTATTACTCGATGTTAATGATTGGCTGTGAAACCAACAGTTATTAAAACATCTTTCCCCCATGTTAATGCTCTTGCTATGAAAGTGATAGTGAATGAGACATACTTTTCGCTGATGTCAAGGAATTTTTGTATTAAACCATACGGTAAGGGATTTTCAGCAACCCAGTGTCTAAGAACACATTATACCATCCATATAATGTGGGAGGCATGACAATCAAACTAATGTCTAAGAACCGCTATAATAAGACATATAATAGTGAACATCAAACCATCTCATGTCAAAGAACAACTGTATTACACCATACAGCGTATGAGACATAAACGTCCCACCCTTTAACTTTATTTGATGTTTTATTTCATTTCAGGTTTCTTGTTGTCTTCTGTTTAAAAAAAATAAAAAGGCAGTGCTTATTGATGCTGTCAAAAAGGGGGAGAAATGTTTAGTTCGACTATGCTATCTCTTGATCATTCATAGTATAGCAGATACTGTTGAAAGAAAAAGGTTATACATCTAAGGGGGAGCAAATCTCAACTATTGTTTATCTGAGGGGGAGCTAAATCTAAGGGGGAGCAGAAATCAACATTTTACTTAAGATGTAATTAGTTCATTTATTATTCTTTATTAGTTTGGTTTTGACATCATCAAATAGGGGGAGATTGTTGGGACACTTATTCATATATATTTGATGATGTAAAATATAAAATTTATAGTTATAGTTTTACTGCTCATTGTAGACAGACAGTCTTGTCTACACAAGCAAGCTGACATGTCAGAGTTTGTTTATCTGAAGATATGTTGATGCTTCTGAAGACTGATATTGAAGATATTTGTTAGTTCTCTACCATCCACTAAAGTCTAGATGTTAAAGACTAAAGACCAAATTTAAGCTGCCTTAGCTGATCAAATCTAGAACATTTCTAAAGGCTCTACTGTAGTTTTGGTACCACTAAAAATCATCCCCTGATGACCAAAATACATTGAATGCACTATCATCACGAAAGGTACTGAAAGCACTATTAACATGAAAAGCATCATTCACTAAAGACTAATTAGTGTGTCCAGACACTGATGTTCTTACACTAATGACACATTGATCATATGATACACTGATGACACTGATACATTGATATCACACGCTGATGGTTATACACTGTTGAAGCTGAAGCTGATCAACAAATGTCTTTCTGAAGATGACGATGATGCCTTGATCAACGTGACTCCCTGATGTTGATGCCCCTGATTAGCATATGAAGTGTTGATGTTGATGTCCGAATCTGGAGCAGATCAGAATTACTTGGTGAAAAAGTATTCTGAAAATCTTATCTGATCTGTTCCTTAAAATACCAAATCTGCATTTATCATTGAATATTCAATCCCATCAAATCAAAGACTTGATATAATCAGAAGATTTGGTGTATCTACATAATTTTTATCTCCTATGTTTAGAGTAGTATTTATATTGGCATCTCTCATTAGTTGAGAGTTGATGATTTGTATTGTTTACTGAGAGATAGAATTTATGTAGACTAGATTTAGAGTTCTTGGTGAGTTCTAAATCATTGTACTCGTTCTTTTTGTGAGAACATTTTTCTTAGTGAAAAGCCAGATAAATAATATTGATAATTATTTGTCAAATACTTGTGTTAATATTCCGCGTTTCTATTAGATTCAAACACAGGTTTTAGGGTTTTGGGACGAACAATAACATAATAACACATTAAAAGAATAACATTCGAGTAGTAGATTAAGATACGATGCTTACTTGAGTTTTCTGACTTGGAACCCAATTTTCCATAACTTGAATGTTTCATTGGTGATGAAGAATGGAGTTCAATTTCTTGAAATTAGAGTGGATTTCACAATAAGATTTTTTTTTGGTGTTCGATCACAGTAAGAACGAAAGGGGAGTAGGAGAAGTTTATTATTATTATTATTATTATTATTATTATTATTATAGCAAAGCTGATGAATCAATGGAATCGATTAATCGAACCAAAGTGTTCGATCACAGTAGGAAGCAAGGATGCTAGGGCGACGACTTCAGCTTTAGTGGGTGTGGGTGTTGGTGTGTGGGTGTGGATGTGTGTGTGTGTGTGGGGGGGGGGGGGGGGGGGTTAAACTTCGATCGATATTGGCTTATGGGCGGATACATCAATACACAGGATTAGAGTGGGTGGATACGATCATCGATCAAGTGGCTATTCAATTTCCTGGTCAGTCCTTTTGACTCGATTAAACTTTTATTTGGATAACCCAAACTAAATACTCGATAATCAATTTACGCTAAAATAAATACCCGAGAACCGACCCAAATAACTTATTTGGTTCTAATTCAGGACGGTCCGATCCAAGTTTCGTTTTCGATTCGAATACTCGGTCCAAATACACATTATCAATTTTTTATACTTTTAAATTTTTGACGAATTTATTGAGAAAATAGATCTTATTGTTATTTTCTCTTATTTTATATGTCGATGTCGCCAATAATATGTCAGTTATTTTTTATTTTTTCCTAATCACCTCGTAGTCGACGCTTAATACGTGGGAATCTAAATGGGCCTTGTCACCCCGCCTTTTGAGCGTTCATCGTGTACGTGGCGCCCCACCATTACCACACTAAACCACAGCCGTTTTAAAACGGCTTTTACTATTGTCGTTTGGCGCCCACCGTAGACAAACTTATTTCTTTATTTCTTTCTTTAAAATTTAAACACACCCACCGTAAACAAACCTAACCACTGAAACCAGAAATTAGTATTTATTCTTTTATTTATTTATTGAAGAATTAAAACCCACTTTTCCGGCCCTATAAATACGTTCCTTGAGGAAAGCTATGTTTGCCAATTTACACACACAAAGCAGTCTTCAAAAAAAGATCCTCTCTCTTCTTCAATACAGTTACTTTCTCTCTCTACTGTTACACAACAATGGCGGTTTCAACTAGAAGAACAACCGGACCGGTGCTAAGATCTCACTCGCCGGCCGGAAGATTCTACAACTCATCGTCGTCGTCCTTTGCCTCAGCCAGCTCCGCCTTCTCATCCAGATCCACTTCGTTTTTTGAACACAGATCAGCGTCGCCAACTCCGGTGAACCTATACGGAACATCGTCGTCGTCCGTACGATTTTCGTTCGACAATCGTCCAATTTCTCCGAGCAGATCGATATCTTCGCTGCCTAGGAATCACAATCAGGCGGTGAAGAAACAGGAAACTCCGAAGAGGACGTGTATGTGTTCGCCTACGTCGCATCCAGGATCATTCAGGTGCAGCTTGCATAAGAACTCCAACAACAACAATAATCACCACCACAACACGGCGACGTATCCTTCAAATCGTCTCAACGCACGGCGGTCGGCGATGACTAACTCGCTTGTCCGTATAGGAACCGTGGAAGGAGGCGATTTAGTCAAAAGAGCTCTTGCGGCGTTGATCCGGCCATCATCTCATCAGCAACGACGGAGAACCTCGTTTCAGGCTAGGCCGAGTCGGCTATCAGTCATGTCAAAGGCGGAGGAGTTGTAGATTTCAAAAGTTTCGGTATGTTCGTTGATTACACTACACTCTCAACTATCCGGCGGCGTCGACGGTTAACAACAGATCGTGGAGAAATCGGAGATCGAAGAGATCTGGATGAGCAATTTTTTTTATGAATTCAGGGGACGGAAGCAAGCCTTACATGATAAATGACCTCTTTTCATGTGTATATAGATATAGATGACAATATATAAATATCATCCGTTGATGCCATTAATGGCTAATCAAGCAGAGCTTCAGCTCCAAAATCCAATCTAATCACCCTCATCATTAAAACATAACTCAATTCAACTACAATCACCTCAATCTGTATACAGTGAGCTTTCGTCTGTGTTGATCATCTCCATTTCCATCGTTGATTATCTCCGTTTCCGTCAAGTTCAGTTTCTCAGATTCCGTTCCGTTAACTTCCGTTACGTGCCGTGTTGGGATACGTGATATTCCGTTTCGTCGCCGTTCCGTCGTCTGGTAAGAATCTATTTTCGTATTTTTCGTATTTCAATTTTATTATTATAATTATTTTTACGTTTTTCCCTTAATTTGCAAGGTACATAATTTCTTCATTGTAGACAGGCTGGACTTTTGGATACAGAGGTGTGGATTGTTGTGCCACTTACGACTTTGATTTTGGTGTCGACTATATGGACCACTTACCTTTGCTTTGGATGATTCTAGGGCATATCAATTATTGGCACCTAAAAACAAGCGATTATTTGTCTCTCACCATTTAAAAACAAAAAATAAAATAAAAAACAAAACAAAGCATAAACTTGGAGCTGATATGGTGAACTACTTGGGTCTTATTTTAGATACATATGGATACAACCAGAAGTATGGAATTTGGTGAGTGGTAGCTAGCTGTTTTAAAGAACAAGAAGCATCGAATTTAATATATGAAAATATCTTAATAACTTTAGCTTAATTAAACTAAATCGGAATGAGAAGGAAAAGATCTATTGATTTCCATATAAATATGAGAATTTCTCTAATTTTTACAAAGGAATCTGACGTATTGTACTGATACTACGCATACTTCGTGTTAATTTATAAAATTTATTTAAAACCTAGGTATAATGTTTTTGCTAAATTTATTAGAAGTGTGTAACCAATGACGTAACTGCAAATATTTTAAAAAGAGAGTAATGTTTTGAATAAGACATGATTGTGGCTACATATCATCAAAAATTCTAACAATAACAAAAATTGCTAAACTAGGTAAGGTAAAGCTTTAGAAGCGAGGCGTGATAAATTGGCTACAAAAGGAGATGGCTTTCCTATAAAATTGGTATAGAAAAATGAACTAGTATTGTAACAATAACCATCCAACATCTTTTTTTACTGGTTATATCAATAAATTTGTTAAAATGGTCTAATAACAACATTGGGACCGAGATTCACATGTTTATTTCACAAATTTTACCCGACTTTCTAAAAATAATATGTTGACGATTAAATGGCATACAAACATGGATAATAATCTTTTTCTTTAGTAAAACACCACCCTAGTATTAAACACATACTAGTTAAATTTTTATCTATTTCTCATATAATCAAGTTAACTTTTCAAGAAAAAGAAGAATTTTATTGATCTAGATAATGTCACACCCCAAAATCGGAACGACGGAAATGTTCTGGAGCTGAGGACGTCATGTGTAGTATCACAACAATTGTATCATAGCAATCATAGTAAACACAACCAAACATCGAATACATATATGAAAAAGGTTTACATTGACTTAAAACATAGTTTGTTTACAACAAAAGTAAAAATAGAAAGACGTGACTCTAACGCTCCGACTTCTCCAAACTCCTGGAAGTACCTGTCTACTAATTCTCTGAGAATACAAGCAGTTTTGAAAGAGTATCAGCATAAAGCTGGTGAGTTCATAAGCATTTAGTTTTTAGAGAGAAATGTTCTTTGATACTTTTGAAAAATGTTCCTCAAGAAAATCTCATATTTTCTTATGAAAAACATGATTAAAACCCATTCCTTCCATGACTTCCAGGTTCATACTAGTTACGTATTAGCCAAGGAGTCATGGAATGAATATGAATATCCGTTTGTTGAATCATGAACCATCCGTTTATAAAAATATTGTGTTATCCTGGGAAAATCCTATATTCTCCCTAAAAGTAGGTTGCTGGTTATCCGTTCTAAACTGAAGTGTACAAGTATCTACCATACTTATATCGTTAAAGCATAGTTTCCTTTATAAAACCCTGGTTACTCCCAGTGAGGTATATTAGTCTTATTACATAAATAAAACTAATTGAAAAAGTGGTGATCTAAATCCTGAAGGTATTGTTAATACCCTCCCGTAATCACTTGGTTATTAACTCAGAAGTTAGTTCGGTTGATTTATTATTACGTAAGTAAATCGCTATTATCTACATTGCGAGTTTTATGACCATACATTAACTTGATATGGCGCGAATCGGGAGCCAGTATCCTTTATGACTTTGTCACCCGTAGACCTGCCGGTCCTACTGTAGCTAGCAGCAAGGTGTGGGATAGTCAGTCCCGTATAGATCTATACACAAAAATCACGCTCTCCCTCCAAGAGATTCTGGTCATAAGTGCTAGTCCTTCACTCAGTTACGGTTGTGAGTGTTACCAAGGACGTGTCTCCAACTAGACTAACAAATTTACAAGTAATAATGTTGAAACCCCTTTTTGTAATTAGCATGAATCTTTTATAAAATGATATCTTTTACTTCATGATTCATAAGTTCATTTCCTTAGTTTTGAAAACTGCTTTTGTAAGTTGATTTCTTAACCCATTTGGTAAAACTGTTTTCCACATTCAAAGTATAATGAAAATATAATTATCTTAAACAAAATAATATATTTTGAGCACAAGATCCCTTGTGCTTTTGCTTGTATCCCCCCCCCCCCTAAAAACATGAAAAACTCGGAAAAGCGTAGGGGTATGAACTCACCTTGAGTAAGTCGTTTGAATGAAAGATCGGTATGAGATGTTGAGGGTCACGTGAAGCCTCGAACACAATTTGATCCTAATTAACATGTACCGACACATATAGGAGTCAAATGATGGTATTTCACTACTAGATATGATGGGGAACCACTCTAGGGACTTGGAACCACTTGCACTAAGTGTTAGAACCTTATAGGATTAAGTCAGGGAGGTGTATGGCCACCTTATAGGTATGTGCGGCCATGGGTGTGCGGCCCATGAGGTGTGCGGCCGTACACTCATGATGGAAGGTGTCTTTGAGGTGTTTTCAAGGTTCATACTTGCATCCATAAAGTGTTCTAGGTCCATACTTAGTTGTAGTGGAAGTTTGAGGTCAATAAAGGTCATAGAAATGGGTTTGCGGCCCTAAGGTGCGTGTGTGGTCGCACAAAGGAGTGTGCTGCCGTACATAGGCGTGTGCGGCCGTACATAGGGGTGTGCGGTCGTACACCCTTCATGTTTATGTCCAAAATGCCGACTTTAAGGTGCAGCAAGGCTAGGTTCATGTCCAACTCGAAGATAGGGGTCATACTCTCACTTTGGAGGGTCTTTTAGGAGTGTGCGGCCACCTTATGGGGGTGTGTGGCCGTACTCCTTCAAAGGGTGAAGAACATGACGGGACATGTTGAATCAAGGCTTAGATCAAGAGGTTCTTCAAGCACAATAAACTAAAGGATGGATTACTCACGTTTTTTAAGCTTTGGAGGGTTCACGGTTGAAGAAGCTTGAGAGAAATGGTGTTGTGTGCGACCAAGGAGTGAAAGGAATGAAAGGAAAGGGGTCTACCTTTTATATAAGAGTGGGTGTGTTGCCATGAAGGGGGTGTACGGCCGCACACCCATGTGTACGGCCGCACACCCATGTGTACGGCCGCACACTCCTCCTAAAGGAGTGTGTGGCCCGGTTTTGTTACTATACAACTCGCTGAGTCATTCCTAACCTCGACCTTGGTTGCACTCAAGCTTAGAACGCTTAAACGAACCCTTAAACGGTGTTAAAAGACAACGGACACAGGTTTAACATTGGTTGAGTTGACTAGGTATACAAGATGGCAGTTCCAGGTTGTCACATCATCCCCCCGTTATAGGGAATTTCGTCCCGAAATTCAAGAATAAAGATATAACTCATGGATTTGGAAAAGATGAGGGTACTTCTGTTTCATTGGATTCTCGTGCTCCCAAGTGAATTCAAGTCCCCGCTTGGCATTCCAGCGGACCTGTACTATCAGGATACGACTCTACTCCGTTCGCTTGACTTCCTGATCCATGATTTCAAATGATTCCTCCATGAAGTGTAGACTCTTGTCTAGCTCCATATCGTCGAGGGGAATCACAAATGTCTCATCGGACGGACACTTCTTTAGGTTCGACACATGGAAGACGGGATGGACGTTGCTAAGTTCTCGAGGTAACTGGAGTTTGTACGCTACGGGACCGATCCTAGCAAGGATCTCAGACGGTCCAATGTATCTTAGATTTAGCTTTCTACGCTTTCCGAAGCGTATCATGCCTTTCCAGTGTGATACCTTCAAAAGGACACGGTCACCAATCTGGAACTCCAAAGGTTTTTGTCTCTTATCGGCGTAGCCCTTTCGTCTATCTCTGGATGTTTATAAACGCCCACGGATTTGCACGATCTTTTCAGTCGTCTCTCAGATGATTTCAGGACTCGTGAGAGTACTGTCGGGGACTTGACCCTTGACTAGTTGCGTGTCGCCCACCTTAGCCCAGCACAGAGGGGATCTGTACCTACGGCCATAGAGGGCTTCGAACGGCGCAGTCTTGATGCTGGTAAGGTCGCCGTTGTTGTAAGAAAGTTCAACTAAGGGTAGATGAGTGTCCCACGACGTGCCCTAGTTGATGACGCAGTTCCTCACGTATCTTCCAATGTCTGGGTTGTCCTCTCACTCTGTCCATCTATCAGCGGATGATAAGTCGTGCTCATATCCAACTTAGTTCCAAAAGCCTTCTGTAGTGATTGTCAGATTCTCGAGGTAAACCTGCTAACCCGGTCGGAGGTAATGGATATTGGTACCCCATGAAAACGGATTACTTCTCGAAGGTATACTCAGGTGAGTCTCTCCATTTTGTATTCGGACTCTCGCTGGATGTTTCAGCGGATTTTCGCTGCTGTATCCGTTGTTCTGATTCATACTCTTCGCATGAATACTCTTAGGTTTCGAAGAGAGACGATTTCTGAAGTTAGCATCCAGTTTGTCGTTATGAGTAACGAGAGTTTTTCGATCGAACAATTTAAGACAGACGGGTCTCCTTGGGGAAAAACGGGTTTGGTATAACTTAAACTCAGTCGGACTAAGCGGGATGACATCGTAGGATCGTGCGTTAAGTTAGTCCAGAAGGATCGTTTTGTTAGCACATTGGTGCCCCTGGGTGAATGTTTCTGGTGTTTTTTGTGTTTGATTTGAAATTGGTGGGTACTACTAATACGAGGGTTCTGATTCTTTGAAACTATGAACTTTTTATGAAATGGTTCCTACTAGATCTCTCTATAATCGCTTGGTGTATACAAGTCATGTATAACTACAACTGACTCTAACGTATACACTAAGCCATCATAATTTACCCATTAGGGCT